TGCTCCTTGGAAACTCTATAAATACAGGTCACTATGAATCAGAACTGACCTGATGGCACTTAACACCTTCTAAAATAGGAGGAAAATAAATAATCAGCTATATAGTGTTTATAGTATGCTACTTGTAAGTTTTTTTAAAAAAGGAAAATATAAAAATAGCACTTTCTTATATATTCATAAACTATTTCTAAAAAGATAACACAAGAAAGAAATGATTAACTCTGGTTGCTTCTCAGGTAATGAAGAGACAATGATATGAAGGGTTGCTATTATTATGTGCCGTTGAGTTAATTTCAATTCATAGTGACTAGGTACAACATGATAAAATGCTATCGGTCCTACTGTTTTTGCAACCATCTGTAAAGGTACCTGTGCTAGAGTGAATTTACTTAACATGTCTCTTCTAGCCATGGTCTTTGTGACTCCCACCAAACAACTGGATGGGATTGTACATATAGGGTATACACCCGGATTGGCTAGTTTTGCCATCTTGCTAGATTTAAAAGGAACCATCTCAGAAGCAGGAAGAGACGATTTCAGGACCATCAAGAAAGAAGAAATTTGAGCAGAGCTTGATATTTCTACCTGGAAAAGTGATGGCAGCTGGCAGAGGCAGAGGCATGGAGAAACAGAGAAGTTTTGAGATTCCTAGTCCAGGGACCAAGTGAAGCTGAGTGTCTACAGGCAGGAGGCTGGCTAGAAGAATGTGCCCTTTGGGCATTTACAGACAGGCTAAAGGAGCTTTGTTAACCCTTGCCCAAGCAAGGCAGGGGCCAAGTGGCCATATGGCTGAGAAGTCAAGGACAAGAGCAAGGTGTGTTTGCAGTACGGCAGAGAAGAGTTCCTAACTGGAGGACTACTACATCCTCAATTGTTTCTGCTCCTAAATTGTCCCCTGCTCATTTCTCTACAAAACACCATAACTGTAAGCACTGTCTATGAGTTCCGTGTGGCCACAGCAATGGATTATTGAACCCAGTTATAAAGCAGGTAATGTTGTGGGCGGGATGGTTGGTGTCACTAGAGGACAAAGAAGGTTGTATGATAAAGGCATGTCTGTCTTCCTCCACCTCACAGGAATCAGTCTTGGGCTGATTTGGGGTTTGATTCTCCTTCCCCCTTATGATGTCAGAGGAAATCCGGCATGGTTTCCATGCCATTTTTGTAGTACGTTTCTAATTTTTGAAACATGTGAATCTCCTACATATATCAAAAAAAAAGGGAGAAATGAAACAAAACCATAAATAGATATGATCATGACATTGTAGCTAAGTAAGAAAAGGTCCTTATTTATTGAGACAAATACTAAACTATTTGCTGTTGTTGTTGAGTGCTGTCCAGTAGGTTCCAACTCATAGTTACCCTATATAGGGTTTCCGAGGAGCAGCTGGTGGGTTTGAACCACCAGCCTTGTGGTTAGTAGTCCAGTATGCATCCTAAAGTGCCACACCAGAAGCCTTTAAACTATTTAGGAATAAGATATCATATATACTCTGGAAAGCAACAAAATAGATAAGCAAAAATGAAAATTATTTTAAATACAAGTTTTAAGTATATGATGAGCATTCATGCTATTTTATCTACTTTTCTGTACAACTTAAAATTTTCATGACAAGTAGTAAAACAAAATTTCTTCCACATGAGAAGAAAATATACAATTCTAGCAAAATACTGCCTATGGAAGACCTAATCCTGAAGCCCATTGCAGACTAGCCCCAAACTAAGACTTTTCCATGAAAAGCTTAGCCCTTTCAAGATTGAATTGTTTTCTGTTTTGAAATTTTTGTAGCAATTATGTGTTTTCAATAATGAAAGGCATTTTGAATAAAACAGAAAAAAAAATTGGGGGGGGTGGAACTAACATGTATTTGATACAATTACTATGATACATGTCCTGAGGAATTTCTGGAGCTGAGGTTAGTCGAATAAGGTTCATTTCTTCAGATTCACACATTTATACAAGCTCCTATCAGAGGACAGCACACACTAAAACTGGGATAAAAGCTAGTATCATGAAAGAATTGAATCTAGAGAGGATTTTGTTTCTTTCCGGATGATCCAGTGACTCATCATCTATATTGATCTACTGAGTGCCACCCTTGAGAAAACCACTGAGTATCATTTCATTTGATCCTTTGAGCCACCCTATGAGGTGCTGTTGTTAAGTGTCATGAGTCAGTCGGTTTTGACTCAGAGCTACCCTGCATAACGTTTCTGAGGAGAAGCTCGTGGGTTTGTAGATCCTATTTTTATCCACATTGAATAACTAAGAAATGGGTCTGGAAAGGTTTGGCAAACTGCTCAAGGTCAATTAACTACCAAAAAAGAAAACTCCTGGAGCCTAGATCTCTCTGACAGAAAGTCACTATCTTTGTAAACTACTCTGTTATAGGAGGGGTACTGCGTGAGGCTCAGAAAACTCCAGGGACTCAGTAGCATCTTCAGTTTGAGAGGATTCACTGCTATTCCAACATTTAGACTTTTCTAGAAGACGCATTCTCTAGAGTCAATTTCACACTGTGATACGTTGACTGTCACATGTGTCAAAGCACAATTCTGTACATGAGTATATGTATTAAGCCTTGGTTTCATCATAGCCTATATTCTATAGTTATCAAAACAGCAATTTTTTGTATAGTAGGGTAGTGATAGCAGAGCTTTATTTTTATAGTTCAAATTAAGCACAAGTTAAAATGAAAGAGACACATTTTCAAAACTGAATACCATTCAAATTCACCAAAGGCTCTTGTTTTTTCCCTTTTCAGTGAAGAGAGGAAAAGATTTTCATTCCTCTTACCAAAACTGGCAAGACTGGTTTCCCAAAAGGGCCAAGAGGCTGAAAACAGGTAACAAGCCATTTTCTGAACATGGACTCCCAAGTTTCCATGCATGCCATCACCCTCACACCATGGGCCCACTATGTCCACCTAACACGGACCGCTGAGTATCCATGCCACTCAGTATTGCCAGGATATTCACACTTGTGACAGAATCTGGCTTCTGAATGTGTGATACTATCAAGATGCTTTTGAAAATCTTGGTCACCTGACCATGAATTCCATCTCTCTAAAGCAGTCCCAAGTCACACACTAACCTACAACAGTATGCATGTTCAGTCCTGTAACTAAAGAGGAAAAATCCACCTGCAATGCACACAGTGCAAAGCCAGCAGACATAAGTGTTACTATAACCACATACTTGGCTCTGTGTGCTCCTGAAGCGACAGACAGCAATGTCCATTTTCACAAGGAACACTTGGCCCCACATCAGATCCAGGTATTGTGGGCTCCAAAGCCTGTAGAAAACCCTGGCTTGTGGTACATTAACACACTCGGCAGCTAACTGAAAGGTGGTGGTTTGAGTCCACCAAGAGGCACCTGGAAGAAAACTGGATAATCTTCTTCCAAAATCATCATAATAAAACAAGCCATTGAAAACTCTCTGGAGCATAGTTCTACACTGACACACACGGGGTCACCATGAGTCAGTCGATTACAACTGGTTTCATTACAACTGGTTTCATATGAAAGCTATACAATGTGTAGACCCTCTTTATGGAAAAAATAGGCACAAAAGTATATATAATTCACTTGCCCTTGCAAGTGAAGAGCCTTGAAGATTAAGTTTCATTAGTTGTTTGTTAAATCTACCTTTATCCCAACCATGGAAAATTGCCAGCATTTAACCCATTTTGACTTACAAAAATGGCAACTTCATATGGTTTAACTAGTATATAGGTGGTGCACAGCTTCAGTGCAGGCTGCATGATTCTAGCAAAAGCACATGAAAGTTCACCACTGGTGAACTGAGCTTTCTGCAGTCATTCAAGATAACTATGAAGACTTACGTAGTAGTGCTTATCAAATTTTACATAGAGGAAAACAATACAAAGAATTTTTCTCATTATGATTGTATTTCTAAAGTCATATTTACAGACATGAGCAAAGAAAATATGAAGATATAAACCAAAAAAATATTTTTTGACAATGGTAGGGATATGATTTCTTTTTCCTTCTCAACAAACCACCCCAAAGTATTATGTTTCAAAGGGAGAATTAAAGTGAGCATAAGAAGTAGGGAAAGGAGAAGAAATGAAGAGATCTTAGATACCACTGTCTGGTGCAACAATTAACTTACACACACAGCATCAGTTTGTGTATCAACAAGTTGAAACATATCTTTAAATTTATTTCAGAGAATGAAGTGAAAACCAATTGAATGAGTGAGAAAAAGCTACAATCTTAGATCTTCCTGTCTGCAACAACACAGGCATTTATCAGTAAGCATTACCTTGGCATAATCAAAGGCAAACTGAGTGAACTTACTTTTTGCTTGCCTCACAGACATCTGTAATGTTGGAGAAAAGATGGTGACTCTCTGTTTTGGTCATTGTGTCACTCAGTTCTTTAGAATTTTTAAACATTCGTATCAGTATCTCCAAGCTGTGTAAATATGAATGTTCAGAGGATATGACTTCAAAGATGGCCTGGTAAAGAAGAAAAGGACAGTAATTAATTCTTTGCAATAAAGAACTAAATTGGAGGTGCTTCTAAAAGTTCATGGAAAAATTAAATGAAAAGATAATGGATTTTTTTTTTTTTCTATTTTTGAAGCCCCCACATAGTCTCTCATAATTTTTTTCTGTAAGAATGCCATGGCATTCTTGAAAAATACAGAAAAATGAGCATTGATAAAACTGTATCCCCAAACTACTATCTTTACACAAAGCACATGAAACACAAAACTCAAATAATAGTCACTGCCTATAGTGTATGTATATATGAAAAATTGAAAGCATTTCTGACTTGAGACTGCTTCTTGAGGTCATGCCTTTGCCATGGGGTAGAATCTCTGAAAGGAAGTGAGAGAATGTCATAAAATTCAGGGTGACATTAATTAACCTTTGAGGTCATATCCTTCAGGCCTGTTTTAAAAGCATGCTACTTCAGGGACTGTGAGTATTAGTGGCCATTGCTGGGATTTAGAAGAAATTGTTCACAAATACATTTCTTTGCTACCTTCTCACATGCACTGTTTCTCTCTATGTTCTAATTCTATGAATTTGTGGGCACTAATAACAAATATTCTGGCTATATTAAGAGAGCATGACTGTGTCTATCCACAAAAGGTTCTTATCAGCCACAAAAATTCTTTTATACAATTCAAAGCAATTCCATCCATTCGACAAGCCACCTTCTCTGCTCTCACCAGTGTCTCAAGAAGGAACGAAGGATCCTCTGTCTGCAGAAACTCTTGGTATCAGGCACACAGTGGTTTTCCTGATAAGCTTTTGTTAATGATAAAATGCCAACCCACGTACATGGATAGACACCAACGCCCTGGGTGAGGAATCCATCTAGCTCATTAGCAAAATCAAATTCATTATCTTCCCAGAATGGCAGCAAAAGCAGAATTCTTCCTCAGGGAGGAAGGGTGAACATCTTTTTAGGTCTGAGATGTACATCCTTCCTAGTAACACCACTATCAACACCCTGGCCTTCCAGGTCCCTTCCCTTCAAGCCCCTAGTTCAAAGGGTGACAGAAAATTCTTTGCATCTTTGTGTGTGTGTGTGTGTGTGTGTGGTATGGGTGGTGCTGGGCAAGGAACATGTCAGCTAGGACAGGCAAGCTCGCAGCTGCTGATGACTGGGCCATGCTTTCTATGCCATGTTAGTGGGGCCAGCACTCACCTGCCTTTTAGCATCCCCATTTTTAAGGACGTCTCACTGAAATGTGTCACCTACCATCAGCTGTACTACAGGGAATAAAAGGATTTAATTGTCTGAAGAGTAAAAGACTTTCAATGAATCAGTTTCCTGTTTGATTTCTACTTGAGCAATATAATTAATTACCCTCAGAAATGTAATGCAAACTAAAGAATATTCTTCCTTCCGGATTGAAAATATGGATCTCACGCAGTTGATGGACTGGCAGTTTGGGATACGACTTAAAATATTTCCAAAAGTAAAGGTTTTTGTAACCAAATCAAATATAAAGAGTGGAACTGGTGTTGCTGTTAAGTGCCATCGAGTTGGTTCTGACTCAGACCAACCCTACATAGTGTTTCCATGGAGCGGCTGGTGAGTTTGAACCACCGACCTTGCAGTTCAAACCTATCTTGAGGTTGAGTGCTGATCCTGCAGCACTACACGAGGACTTCAAGAGTGAAATAAGTTCAACTAAAAGATTTTGAAGAGTGGAGTAGGTTCAACGAAAAGATTTTAAAAGGACAGAAATCTTCAAATGGGATTAGCACCCTAGAGATGCTATTGCATTTGTCCAAAAGGAGAGAAAAATATTTTGTTTATGCCAGAATATTAGAAATAAGAGTAAAAATGGTACAATCATCATTAGGAAACTGGACCTTAAAAATGCTGCATTTATAGAGTGTAATATAACGTAGTAATCTGAAAGAGCATTCTAGATTTATATATTATTAACATGGATACATTTCAAAAGCAATGTTGAATGTAAAAACCAAGTGCAAAATATGCACAGAATTGTAGCACTTATCTACAGTTAAGAATACACAAGTATATGTGTATATATCTATGTATTTTGTTGTTGTTGTTAATTGCTGTCAAGTCAGTTCCAACTCATAGCGACCCTGTATTGGGTTTCCAAGGAGCAGCTGATGGGTTTGCACAGATATGCATAGGTATACATATATTGTGTAATGTTGTTAGGTATGCCAAGTTGGTTCTGACTCATAGCGACCCTAGGTACAGTAATATAAGCTTGAGAAAAACAAACAAACAAAACCACAGACTGGAAAGATACATATGAATATAATTATAAATTCCTCTAGAATAGACAGGAAGGGAATGAGACTGAAAAGAATGTCGAGCTTATACTTTATTTTAAAAGTTCTATTTACTTTTAAAATTATATGAATAAAAATTATAAATGTAATACATGTGTTCATTCTGAGTGGTAGACACATATATCTGCACTATTCTTTTTGTAAAAAAAAAAAAAAAAAACTTAGAGAAATGCTACTGTAGTGTGCCCTTGTATTTTTGCTTTATCCTTTGTGGGATTAGTCTATGAGGGGCCTTAAAAGTTCTTGGGAAAAAGATCACATATCTTTTCATTCCATTTATCCACGAGCTTTTTAAAGGCCCTTTATACATGTACATACATAGACCTATATACATAAAATAAGGATCTCTGGTAGCGTAGTGTTTACAAATCGGGCTGTGAACTTCAAGGTCAGCAGTTAGTAACTACCAGCTGTTCCCTGGGAGAAAGATGAGGCTTTCTGCTCCCGTAAAGATTTACAGCCTTGGAAACCCTGCACAGGGCAGCTATGAGTCAGAACTGACACCACCACCACCACCACCATATACATAAAATATGCATACAACAGGAGAAAGGTGCTTTGGAGAATTTCATGATATTAGTATTATAAATAATTTCCTTTAAACCTCATTAATAAAATACTATTTTTATTATGTTTTTCTTTCAATACAATTTTAATTCTGGAATATCTTTAAGTTTATAGGAAACCTGCAAGGAGAGCTCAGACTTCCTGTGTGTTCTTCATTCAATTTCCCCTAGTATTTTTATCTTATATATCAATAGTATATTTGTTAAAACGAAAGAAATTAACATTAGTATATTACACGGTCTCCTCATTTATTGACCATCTTATTATACAACACATCTTATTTACAACGATAATAAGAAAAATCTGCTATCCAACGACTTTTCACCTTAACAACGTACATCTGGCAGTAACGAACAATAAGGAGTGAGACACAGAGTAACACCAGCTTTGATGGTTGAAGTTATGTATCAAATGGTATCATTCGGTACTTAGGTAATGATCTACTTTGGTAGTTACACATGAGGAAATCTGGCAGTAATGGCATAATGCAGTCCTCCTCCATTTTCATATAATGCTGGTTTGCACATAGCCACCAAGTCTTTGAGATGCAAGCATGCCGTTAAGTGAGGAGAGGGTCTATTACTAACTTCATTCAGATTTCACCAGTCTTTCTACTCGTGGTTGCTTTTCAAATGAGGATCTAATATGTAGTGGGGTTTTGTCTTGGCATCATACCCTTTAGTTTAAATACCTGGAGCAGATGCTTTGTCTTTTTTAGGTTAAAATGATGTTGGGATGATTTAATTTTTTATTTTCTGAAGAGCTTATCTGTAGTTTTTCACCTTTCATTTATCAGTGATCACATGCTGCATTTGTGAAAAGAACAAAATAGGTTTTAAAGGAAAACACCGAACAAGTGCATACACAGTAGGCAAAACCAGAGACGCATAGGCAGCCACATGTGCTTTCTAAGCTCTAAAGCATCTACTTGGGAGAAAACATACCTCTTGCCTCTTTCTTTCCTCCTGGCTAACTGTCTGAGATAGTCCATTTCTTTTCACCTAGAGAGACAGCAAAGTAAGGTAAGAATGGTTACATTACCAGGTTATTTTTCATAATAACTCTATGTACTTCAAAACCAAATTATGGGACATGATACAAAATATTGAACTCAGCACATAATTATTTCTAACCAGCATTTATATCCACAGATAATATTTAATCACATTAATAATTTAGCACAGTTCACAGTTAAGAGCTATGAAAGTGTCCTTATCCCATCAGGTTGAGTTATTCTGTAAGATCAAGCTATTCTAGTCTAAGGTATAGTTATTCTTACAATAATTTTCAAACGAATCTCCCAAATTATAAATAAAATGGGTGACATGTTGGGCCGCTAACCACAAGGTCAACAATTCGAACCCACCCGCTGCTTTGCAGGAGAAAGAGAAGGATTTCTGTTCTTTTAAAGATTTAGAGACTTGGAAACCCTACACAGGGTTGCTGTGAGTAGGAATGATCAATGGCAGTGGGTTTGGGGTTTGTAATAATAAAAGAAAATGAATCCATATCTCTGATATTTTACTATCCAGGTTGACACACTGAAAGAGTAATTTTAACACTATTTTCTATAGGTCCCATAGAATACCAATGCTTTTTATAAAAATTCAACCAAGAAAGGAAACAAGCTCCCTCCAAATTTCAGCAATCTTTTCAGTAGATGTAAATTTGACCAATGAGGATGTTAAACTGATACTCTTTTGAGACGCAATAATAATTATATAACTTGCTTATCATATTTAGAATACTACACTTATAGCTTGGAGTCTTGATATATTGCTGTGGAAAAAGCACTGGACTGTTAATGAATGGTTGGCAGTTCAAACCTACCAGCCACTCTGGAAACCCTATATAGAGTCGCTATGAGTCAGAAAGGAAGTGATGGCATCTAACAACTGACAGCGTAAGTTGAATCACTGCAATCCCTATTTTAAAACTGCAGATTCCATCACCAAAACTCAGTTTTCTGGATGTCTCTATTGCTTGACATGGCTCCTGGCCTATGGAAGAAATTGTTTTTCAGGCATAAATTATTTTTTCAGGCATAAATTAAGTTAGTGCAAGGTAAGACATACATAAAATGTCAATCAATTAGATCCTGCCTATAAGAAGAAGAAGAGTTAAAAGGAAAGTGCCCCCCACGTCATGCTAGAAGACATAGCGACCCTGTATAGGGTTTCTAAGGAGTGGCTGATGGGTTTGAACAACCGGCCTTATGGTTAGCCATTCAGTGCTCATTTGTCAGGGACTGGCCTCGACATAGGGGTTCGGTTCATGAGGTGGAGATACCTGGCGGCGACAGAGATAGCAAAAGAGACACAGAGACACAAAGAGAGAGACAAAGAGACACTCCGAAACCAGAGTGAATGCTGGACTGGCATCAGGCAGATCCTGCGTTGCAAACATCTCAGCCACGAAGGCCGTAATATCCTGCATAGCAAACATCTTAGCTAAACAGGCAGTATGGTTGCAAGGCTGGATTGAGCCCCCTGCATGCTGTAACGCACGCCATGTCAGTTGTAATGCACCTGGATTCGTTCTGTGCCTTCCTTTTATTTAGGGGAGGTACTTTACACAAAGCTAGGAGGGCACTAAGACAAGATACAGCTGTCAATCTTATTTTTCCAGACATTTAGGCAACTTTACATCATACTTCGCAGGTTCGAATATCACAACCGCAACTTGGTTTCTCAAGCTTAATTAACATACCTTTTAGCACCTAGCCTCAAATGGGGGGAGGAAAGGGAGGATTGGGAGGATTCCCATTGTGTCGGCTGCCCAGCCCAGGTTCTTCAGGAAAAGAGATGCCTGGGTGAATAGGCAGCACCTGGAAACACTTTAGGGAGGGCATTCCTATTGTCCTTGGAACAGAGACCGGAGAACCACCCAATTTACCTTGAATGAATTCTCTGAGGGAAGAACTTTGCCTGTTTGGAATTTTACAGTCTTGACTTTTAGGAAAATATTACATTTATCTGTGTATATCAAGGGCTTCATGTCTGCAATTAATAAAACATAACTGGATATTAAGATGAAAAATAATTTGTTATTAACTGCCACGTGGCTAGATCTGTTCCTCAGAGCCTGCGACCTGTAACACTCGAGCCTATAGGGCCTCGAACCTCTGACCAGGCCTATATGGTCTGCAACACTCATTGTACAGCACCATACCAGCAGGACTCCAGAAAACAATGGTAACAGAGTATACAAAAAGGTCTGCAAACTTTTTGCAATGACACCCCCTTAATGATTTTAAAAACCATGTTCCTTAAACATACTTTTTAAGCTGATACTTAATTTTTCATTATAAGTTTAAAGATTTCAAAAGATGTACTTTCCTGCTAATTATAAACATAGACATTGGAACATGTGTGTTACTAAACTCTTTCAAATGGAATATAAAAACCATATTGATGTCCAACATCACCCATTTAAAAATAAATCAGTTAGCTTTCATTTTGGCCATCAGGATCTAAATATAAAAACAAACTCTATTGCTGTATAATTACTACAAAATTCATTAATAACCTTTGATCCAAAGAGCTCAATTAGTTCCAATTTTAATGCAATAAGCATTCTATTGAGAATGCACTCTTTAATTAAATGAGGGATTTTTAGTGTTTTAATTAAAGGAAGCCTCGCTGACACAAATATTTCAAACTGACTCCCTTTATCATGAAATCATAAAAAATATGAGATGGGTAAGAGAGATTACTTTCTTTAGGAAAATGGCAACTGTGAAAGACAAGGTGAGAAGGACTGGCAGAAAATCCGAACTGCACCTGCAGTCTCCGTTTTAGAAGAGAGAATACCAGTATGTCGAATTCTGGAGAATTCCCTTAAAGCTACTCCTGTCCATCCTTGGAAAGACTTTGGGAACTCCATGTGTGAGGCGCACACCCTAGTGTAAAGTCTGCTATTGCAGTTCTCTCTATATTGTACTACCAAGGAAATTAATACAGTTCCATATTATATTTGTTTTTTGGAGTAGCCAGAAAACAATAAAATAATGTGGTCCAATCCACAACGAATCATGGGGATGGACGGCAGCACAGGACAGGCAGTGTTTCATTCCACAGTGCATGAGGTCGCCATGAGCTGGGATCCAACTTGATGGCAGCTAGCAACAATAATAAGGTACAAAGAGTCCTAAATCAATACAAAGTCAGAAACTGTTTACTGAACAGTTAATGTGTGCCAGAAAATGTGTTAAGCATTTTATACTTCTTAGATATTATTCTTATCCCCATTTCATAGGCGGGGATAGCAACTGAAGCTTAGCATTCAAGTCCACAAAGTAAACAGCAAGTTTAGAATCTGTATCCACATTGATTTAATTCCAGTGCTTCCATTCTTAATCCCAACGTTCTGAGGATTAGGGACCCCCTACTCTCTGGTAGCGTAGTGGTTACGAATCGGGCTGCGAACCTTAAGGTCAGTGGTTCGAAACTACCAGCCGCTCCGCGGGAGAAAGATGAGGCTTTCTACT